ATGAGCCAGAGGATGTGGGAGTTGTCATTGAAGGTACTACAGTTATGAACAACCTCGGTAGTGTCATCATGGCATTCATCGTCTTCTTCGGACTGATTTATGCACTTGATCTGAGCTATCCAAATGACCACAAGTACACTTTGGAGTTTTGTCAGAAGATTTGAATGAATCTGGATGGCTAAAGGCTCAGTGCACAGATGCAGCAAATGAAAATGAAGATGTTTGCTTAGGCAAGCAAGACTCCAGCACAAAAGTTGATTTTGGCCTTTTTATCTCTTTTTTTTCAGACTGTGACCTTTTAAAAAAAAAAAAAAAGAAAAAGGAAGTTTTCAATTTTTGTCTGCTATTCTGTTTGAACATCTTAGATGAGCATCCTATTGTGAGTGATGTAACCTTTAATCTATACTAATATAGATGGATAAAAGAAGGGTGGGAATTTAGCTCAAAAAAAGTTTAATGGTTGTAACCAGCATTTTCTTTTTAATTGCTTTTGGGATTTTCAAAGACACAAAACAAATGTTGACAACTTTGGTGTCTTCCACTGTTTTTAAAGTTGGTGTTCCCGTTTTTATAAGCTTGTAAAAGTTTGAATGTCATTGGTTTTAGAGAAGGGAAGTTGAGATTTGCTTTTTAAATTAAAATACATCCCCTTTGGTAACACAAAAATGTTCTTAATGAAAACCTTTTATATATACATTATATTTGTATTCAAGTATTGTTGGGTTGTTTAAAATGTTCAGTGACTTGCATACTATGGTGTGAATTCTAATGTTTAGTAGGTTATCATTGTGGATATGCTGAAAAGCTACCTGCAAGTGTCACTGTAAATGTATACAATGATTCTTAAGTGAAATCTGATTTTACAAATTGCATTTGAAAAAGCAAGAACACAGATTTTCTTTTATGCTGAGGGGACAGGTTTGTTTTCAGTCTTGCCTAGTAATACAAAGGTGTGTCCTATTCAGATTTGATATTAATTTCAAATGTAAGACAGCACTTTTTTCTTTGCACCTTAATTTTGTTAAGATTAATTTGACCATGTGACATGTATGTTTATTCACAAAATATTCTGTTTCTACTGTTAATTCAAATGATTAAAATTGAGTTGAAAAAACAAATTCATTTTGTTATTTTTTTTTCAATAATTCAATAGTTAGTTGAACTTAAAAAAATAATTTTAATGTGAAGACAATCTAGCTCAAATGAATGACATTGTATTAAGTTGAACCAACCAAAACCTTTCACATCCTATTAATGTAATTTTCTTCCTTTTAAACTTATTTTAAAAATGGTGTTCGACTGACTCAGTTTAATTAAATTGTCATGATGTATGTAGATTTGGTTGAACCAAAATATATGTATTACGTGGAAAACCTGCCATCAATCCAATTGAGTTCATCCAATGACTCATTTTTATGAGTGTATGTTTTTTTTGTTTTTTTTATTTATTTATTTATTTTTATTGTATTTTACTCTATGTTCTCCATTTATCTTTTTCTTTTTTACCCTGTCTGTCAGCTGTGGGATTGGTATATTACACATGTACTGTGACTAGTAATAGAAATAAAAACTAAGAGAAAACAAACAACTGTTCTTGCAGTACTGTTTGTTCCTCTTTATGAGATAACTCCTCGTTTATCTCAGCCTTGGCACCAAGCACAGATGGATGACGTATGGAATAAAACAAGTTGGAGGTGAACAGTTTCCCCCCTGACTTGTTAAAATTAAATCCATTAGCTTTAAACAGATGCCTACTGGAGTCCACGTCATGTGACAAATATGGCCAATGTGATTGGCTGTGCCTTTCAGAGAGCTCGGTTTGGCAAGCCTGCACTGCAAGGACCTGCAAGGAAGAGAGGAGGATGGCAGCAAAAAGGAAGACCCTGGATATAACAAAGTATTTTTCAAATAAACCTGTGAGTCACTTAAAGTCAAGTTCACTCATAAAATGTGTCTGTCATAATAACGTTACAGGCTATGCTAGGCCATACATGCCAACACTCCCGATTTTTCCGGGAGAATCCCGAATTTCAGTGCTCCTCCCAAAAATCTCCCGGCCAGCTGTGGCACGCGTGCCTAGGGTTGCCGACCCCTGTCCTAGAGAGTTAAGTTGACAGTAAATGTCTGAGATTTTACAAGTGAAAAAAAAGAGATAAGAGAATTGCAAAAATCAACAGAATACATGTGGGAGGGGAATGTGTCTGGAGGTTTTGTGATTTTACTGAACAATGAATAGAGGGACCTGGAGTTACCTTCATTAGAAATAATTAAACCAGAGTAGTAAGCAGATTTGACTGAGGCAATGCAGTCCTTATAGAACAAAACATGATCATTATACATTTCTTTATGTACAGTAAGTCCGGTTTTCTTGAATGAACGTTCGAGTTAGCGTCCTTTAGCTTTAAGGTGACGCAGGTCAGGGGTAAACCATGGAGCTGAATGGGAAAATGAAACGGTTCAATGTTTAAGGGGAGCAAATATGTTAAGAAGGTTATGAAGGTTGACATTATAATGACAAACGAGTTCATGAGGGGTTGAGGAGCTGTGAATAGATGGAAGGTCAAGGACGGCAGATGAAAAAAGAAAAAAAGAAAACAAAAAAAAACAGCTGGGTTGATATTACTAATTTTCCTAAAAGTGATATTACGAGAGATACAGGTTTTGGAAGCGGTTATGTTTGTATCCAAAGAAATAAACATATGTGGCTTTACAATGGGTGGGGGTAATGCCAGAACAACAGACCAAATCCAGGATATGACCTTTAGAATGGGTAGGAAATTTTATGTACTGTAGAAACCCAAAACTTTCCAGGCAGGAGGTAAAATCTCTGGAAAGAGATTTTATCATTGTCCATATGAATATTGAAGTCACCAGCAATGATCAGATTTGGAGAAAGTACAGTGAAATGAGTGAGGAGAGCAGAAAATTCATTTAAAAACTCCTTGTTTGGCTTAGGTGGCCGATAAACAGTACATATGATGGTGGGGGTAGATCCAGGGAGCTGTAGTGCAATGTATTCACTACACACATATACATATATCTATCACTGTAAATAAACGCACTCTCTTTTGCTAAGGATTCCTGGTTGGCGCGTGAGTCCGTTTCAAACATTGTGACAATAACACTTAATTTTCCTCAAGCTGGTTTAAAAAAAAAAAATAAATAAATAAAAAAAGAAAATCAGAAACCTCACAGTTCTTATGAGTCAAAAATATATATTGTTTCTGTATATGAAAGACTTCATTGTCTTTACCTTCTAAAAACTACATTTAATTTTTATGCCTTCTTTAATAACACAAGTCAGCTTGGCCCCACAGTTTTTATCTGCAGAGTTGTGTCTGCAGCCAAGGACATAAATTTGGGTTCAACATTCATGGGGTTGAGATTGTGTGAGAGAGCAGAGATCTGGCAGGTTGGCACACTCACACACAGTTTGTGTGCTCTCATAAAAATAAAGCAATAATTTTAAGTAAAATGCAACTGAAATATATAAAAGTTTTATTTTTTATTTATATGTTTGTTAGAAACTGAATGTATAACAGTGAAGTGACTATAGTATTACTGTAAACTGACTACATCCTATAAGTAGTTCGAGTTCAGGCACACAGGATCTCTGAATGTCTCTGAACACATCACAGTTCAGGAAAGTTTCTACACTCATCAAATGTAACATCTTTACAGCTTGTACCTTACAGTCCTTCAAGAAAGCAAAGTTCTTTTAGAGACCTCACCTGCTGTAATTGTGGTCTAGTTAATTAATAAACACCGAACACACTACTATCTGCTTTTACTACCTGGGCTGTGGCCTCAAACCTGCATAAGATTTTAGACCTTTCAACTTCAACTTTCAGTTTGTCATGAACTGAAATGTGATGAACTGACTGGAGAGAGATGTCACTGAAAAATAAAATAAAATGAAATAAAACATTACAGAATCATTACATGAGCCTATACTTTTTTTTATTTATTTTTTTTTATTTCCAAACAATAAGAAATCACAATCATTAGATATTGAATTAAATCACATTTAAATATAGTCCTTTGTCACCTGACAGCCTGTAATAAGGTATTGTTCAGTTTATTTGAACCTTCGTGTACAGCACTTTGTGACTGCCTGTCTACGAAAAGCGCTTGATAAATAAACTTTACTTACTTAAAGTGCTACCGCTTTTGAAGTTGCTAATTAGTCTTTATCAGTCTTCATGATCGGTTTCACTTGTTAAGTTATTTGATTATTTAACTTTTAAAAAGTGAAAAAGTAGAAATAAAATGTTGAAAAAAAAAAAACAAAAACAAACAAAACATTTAACCAGAGAATATAATATGAACTTTGTCTCCATCTTGTGAGTAAAATATGTTTTGGAGTCCTGCTTAGTTTGGAGTTTCATCTGACATCTCTGCAGCTTTGTTCAGCTCTGCTCTGTCAGTGTGCAAATATTTCTTTGAAGTTTTAATATTAAAGATATTTCTTTAAAAAAGATTTTATTTTTATTATATGATTTCTCTAAACATCAAAACTAAAACCTAATTATATAACGTAGAATAACACAAAAAAGCAAGTAATTAATCCAATCAGTCAGCTGTAGATACGCTGGTATCTGAATGAATGAAAATGCTGCTGAGCCTTTTAACTTTCCCTTTATAATATTTTTTTGGCCTTTGGAGCTTTATTTGATAGATTTAGTGAAGAACGGAAAGCATGGGCAGAGAGAGAAGGGGGATGATACGTGGCAAAGGGCTGTGGGTCGCCCCTTCTCAGCCATATGACATGGGGTACAGAATAAAATGAAACCCTCATCACAAACTCAGACAATTTGATTAATAACTTTACTGACCCTTTACAACAAATTAAATATGCTTTCCTATCATGTTTGCTAAGGTCTTATTTTGTAAGCCCCCCAGTAAACACACTGGTTAAATTAGACGTTAGTGACTCACAAGGTTTCTATATGAAAAGTTGCTTTTTCATATACATACAAACATTTTAACAAACTTTACAATCACATCTCAGTCTGACAGATTTTGATATGAGAGGTTTTGGCATTTCCTGCCTTCCAAATATGAAAATATGGGAAGAGTTTCTCAGCGAAAGTGTCTCTGTAAGTGTAGACGTGAGTCATGTCTTCAGGGTCATAGAAGGACACCTCCCCCCTGTCATAGTCCAGCTGGACTCTGATCCTCTGGAGACTCTTCTTCACTGTCACAGTCTGACCATCACTATGAGTGTATTTTCCACTGTGATGCACTAAACACCAAATTCCACATTTTGGTGAAGCAAAACACTCTCTCTTCTTGTCAACTGACTCTTTAACTAAACCCAGATTCCAGTCAGGATGGTCTCCCACCTCCACCTCCCAGCTGTGTTTCCCTGAGCTGAAGCCCTCAGAGCCAAAAACATTGGTATAATTAGTGTTTCTCTCTGGATTATCAGGAAACTGCTGCTTTGTGTCTCCAAGTCTCACACTGGTCAGATCATCAGACAGACAGAGAACTGGGTTTGCAGTGTTTGGGTCCAGAATGACAGGACTGAAGTGGACCTTCTCCTTCATCTTCTCCCACACTCTGAAGGACAGGTTGCCCAGGTGTTTGGCCACATCTATCAGTGCTCCTGAGACCAGCTGTGGATCTGACACTGAGCTCTGGGCTCTGGCTCTGCTCTGAGTGTCTTTATAACTGCTGAGGAATGGCACGCTGTGTTTCTGCAGCTCTTCTTCAACAGCAGAGATGCTGTCTGACAGAGAGGAGATCTGCTCCTCAATCATCTTCATCTCTCTGCTGATAGTCCTCCCCTTCTGCTCCTCTTCCTCCCTCAGAGCTGCCAGTCTGGACTCCTCTTCCTCTTTCAGGAACTGCTGGAGCTTGTTGAACTCTGCTCTGATCTGCCTCTCTGTGGACAACAGCTGCTTCTTGATGTGTTCACTCATTTCATTGTATGTTTTCACCACTTGTTTGTATTTGTTCCTCTTGTCCTGCAGAGACTTTAAGTCAGATTTCAGCTCAATCTTCAGGACGTCAATAGCAGATTCTACAGGAATCACTCTGTGACTCTGGTGGTGAGGAAAATCACAGACAGGACACAGGGGCTTGTCTTCATCCACGCAGAACAGTTGGGGCTCTTTTTCATGTTCACTGCATACAGTCCATGCTTTCTGTCTCTGAGCAAAGGAATCAGCCAGCTCCTTCAGAGGAAAGTTAATTCCAGGATCTTTTTTCGAATCTCTGCATTTACAAGTTGGACAGTTTTTTTTCTTAGTCTTTTCCCAGAATGTTTTCAGGCAGCTTGAACAGAAACTGTGGTTGCAGGTCAGGGTTACAGGCTCTCTGAAAATCTTTGAACACACTTTGCAACGGAGGTGGCTTTTGATGAAAGTGTGTTTCCCAGCCATTTTCTCGGTTCTTAAAATTCTTGTAAAAAAAAAAAAATAAATAAAAAAAAACCTCACCAAATTTGCTTTCTTGCAACTTGCCCCTCTCAGTCCTCCGAGTAAGACCAGTTGAGTTTGAGTTCTGACCTGCTGTAAAGGAATGACTAATAATCTGCAGAAAATGTCATCCAGATCTTTGCCTGGTTAATTTTTAATTTCTAACATCTCCCTATTTACTTTTATAACTATTATACAGAATGGGCTGTGAAACCTGTATAATGCAACCTTTAGACTGAATTTAAAGTTTATGGTAGACTAAAATGGAATTAGCAGCAGATTTGCATCTGGAGTGCAGAATGACTCAAAATCCCTGAAATGTTTCTGTCAATGCATTTCGGGCAGTTTGTCCAAATAGAGTTACCTTTGCACATGTGCAAATGGGCAGTTGATCTGGTAGTGACGGGCAGCTGAACTAATCAACTCAATTTGGAAGATGATAAATGCACATTGGCTCTCTCGATGGGAAATTTCAGTATTTAAAAAAACAAAAAAAAAAACAAGACTGAACAGCTGACCGGCACAAAGTATTAAGCACATTGTGCAAGAAGGATTTTTTTTTAAACCGAACTTCCAGCTTAAAATATCACATTGACGTGAAGCATACGTTTGTCAGGGATGCTGCTAGGACTTTGGCTAGGGGACTTAGTAAGTCTGCCTTGGACATATTGACTGACACAATTGCCAGGTGGATTCCAACAAACTGCAGACGTATTAATATCGTTGACAACGCGCTTTACATAGCTTTGGTTCCTCGTTTTAAGGACTGTGTAAAGATGCCCCTGAGACAATCCAGCACATAACAGCAGGGTGCAAGATTCTAGCAGGCAAGGCATACATTGAACGCCATAACCAAGTGGCCGGTATAGTATACAGAAACATCTGTGCCGAATACGGCCTGGAAGTCCTGAGGTCAAAATGGGAGATGCCCTTAAGGGTGGTGGAGAAGAACAGAGCTAACATCCTGTGGGACTTCCAGAAACAGACGGACAAAATGTTGACGCCTAACCAACCGGACATAGTGGTGGTAGACAAACAGAAGAAGACGGCCGTAGTGATCGATGTAGCAGTTCCAAATGAAAGCAACATCAGGAAGAAGGAACACGAGAAGCTCAAGAAATACCAAGGGCTCAGAGAAGAGCTCGAGAAAATGTGGAGGGTGAAGATAACAGTGGTCCCAGTGGTAATTGGAGCACTAGGTGCAGTGACTCCCAAGCTAGGCAAGTGGCTCCAGCAGATCCAAGGAACAACATCAGAGATCTCTGTCCAGAAGAGCGCAGTACTAGGAACAGCTTCGATACTGCACAGGACCCTCAAGCTCCCAGGCCTCTGGTAGAGGACCTGAGTTTGAAGGATAAACTGCCTGCAGGGGCAAGAGGGGAATTTTATTTGTTTATATGTAACACTGCTCCAAGTGCTCAGTTTGTTCAAAATTAACAGTTTTGTTCATAGCTATTTTTACTGTTTCATCTAAGAATTAAAAAAAGAACTTCATGTCAAAAAGTATTATTTTAGATTTAAAAAAAAAAAAAAAAACTGTGTACGACATGTTTGGAAATATTACTTAAAACCTTATTGTTTGATTCTTCATAACAATTAAGGCTTGACTGCCTTTGTTAAAAAATGCCTGCAGTAGATTATACATCATCTATGTCTGGTTCAAACCAATAACTCACATTAAAAAATGGATTTGTTGACCAACTGCAACAAGTTATACTGCTGAATAAATTTACAGCACAAACAACTATGGGAAAGTTCATAGGAATCGTTATGACAATGCATCGTGTGACAGTCAAATGTGAATAAGCTGGACATTTAAAGCTGTCAGGCAAAGTCCAATGAAAAGAAAGGGAAAGAAGCATCAGCTTGTGTGGAAGCAGATGGTGTGGAAAAATACAAATGTGTTATGATCTAAAAATAATTTTAGAAAATAAAACTAAACTTCACTGAGCATTGAAGTGCATGACAACCATAAAGCTGTCATCAATGATGATAAAACACTAAATATACTATTAAGATTAATAATTTGATCAGATATTCTGTATTAGTATCGACACCTGTTTCTTTCTCCGCTGTGAAAAAGGACACTTTCTACAATTTTCATACTGATCAGGTCATCACACTTTAGTCTGTTATAAACTTTAAAGTCTAAAGGTAACATTATACAGGTTTCAGGTGACATCCTATTCTGTCTAAAGGTTATAAAAATAAATAGCAGAGAGCTAGGAATTAAAATTTAACCAGTGAAAGACGTAGATGAAATTCATTGCAGATTATGAATCTCACTATCAGTCAGGACACCATTACATGAATGGAGTACTCTAACTCTTACTTGGAGGACTGAAAGGGACAAGCTGAAAAAAAACCCAAACAAACAATTTGGTGAGTTTTTTTCTTGAAGAGAAATTTGAAAACAGAGAAAATGGCCGAGAAAGACACGTTTCTTGAAAGCTACCTGAGCTGCCATGTGTGTTCAGAGACTTTCAAAGATCCTGTAACTCTGATCTGCAAGCACAGCTTCTGTTTAAACTGCCTGCAACAGTTCTGGGAACAAGCTAAAAACACAAACTGTCCCATTTGTAAAAGAAAATCCTCTAAAGGAGATCCTAGAGTGAACTTTGTTCTGAAGGAGCTGGCTGATTCTTTTGAGGTAAGAAGAAAATCTGGATTATCTGAGACAGAAAAGCAAGAGAGGAAATTAACAGTGGTGTGCAGAAAACATGAAGAAGAGCCAAAACTGTTCTGTGTGGACGAGCAGAGAGCTGTGTGTTCTGTCTGTGACTTTCCTCACCAACAGAGTCACAAAGTGTTTCCTGTAGAAGAAGCAGTCAGTGTCCTAAAGAAACATCTAAAATCTGACTTAAAGTCTCTGCAGGACAAGAGGAACAAATACAAACAAGTGAAGAAAACATACAATGAAGTGATTCAACACTCCAAGAAACAGCTGTTGTCCACAGAGAGGCAGATCAGAGCAGAGTTCAACAAGCTCCAGCAGTTCCTGAAAGAGGAAGAGGAGTCCAGACTGGCAGCTCTGAGGGAGGAAGAGGAGCAGAAGGGGAAGACTATCAGCAGAGAGATGAAGATGATTGAGGAGCAGATCTCCTCTCTGTCAGACAGCATCTCTGCTGTTGAAGAAGAGCTGCAGAAACACAGCGTGCCATTCCTCAGCAGTTATAAAGACACTCAGAGCAGAGCCAGAACCCAGAGCTCAGTGTCAGATCCACAGCTGGTCTCAGGAGCACTGATAGATGTGGCCAAACACCTGGGCAACCTGTCCTTCAGAGTGTGGGAGAAGATGAAGGAGAAGGTCCACTTCAGTCCTGTCATTCTGGACCCAAACACTGCAAACCCCTATCTCTATCTGTCTGATGATCTGACCAGTGTGAGACATGGAGACACAAAGCAGCAGCTTCCTGATAATCCAGAGAGAAACACAAAATATGCTAATATTCTTGGCTCTGAGGGTTTCAGGTCTGGGAAACACAGCTGGGACGTGGAGGTGGGAGACCATCTGACCTGGAATGTGGGGTTAAGTAAAGAATCAGTTGACAAGAAGGGGGAGCTTTTTGTTTCACCAAAATATGGAATTTGGTGTTTAGTGCATAAAAATAGAAAATATAATAATGGTGTTGGTCAGACTGTGACAGTGAAGAAGAGTCTCCAGAGGATCAGAGTCCAGCTGGACTATGACAGGGGGGAGGTGTCCTTCTATCACCCTGAAGACATGACTCACATCTACACTTACAGAGACACTTTCACTGAGAAACTCTTCCCATATTTTAGTATTGGAAAGGCCGGGAATGCCAAATCGTCTGATATCAAAATCCGCCAGACTGAGATTTGATTGTGAAGTGTGTAAAAAAGTTTGTTTCTATATGAAAAAGCAACTTTTCATATAGAAACCTTGTGAGTCACTAAGGTCTAATTTGTCTTAGACCTTAGTATGAAAATTTTTGCTTTTCATATTCTTGTTCTTTAAAACGCATGTTTTCACAATATTTCTGTTGTTAACACAAGTAGTTTAATCAAGTCAAAATGTGAATGATGCTCATTTCTATACTTTCTAAAGTTGAGTGTGAACAGTAAACTGTGACACTTCTTAGAAAATGATTCAACTTGTGACTTCAGCAAGAGCCAACTTTACAACTAAAAGATCTAATTGTTCCTGATTATCAGCAGCTTACTTTCACTTAAATAACATTTTATAGTAACACACGTGAGATTTAAAGATCTTCAAATTCTAAGAAATTACTTAAAAGTTCTGAAACTGTATCACATCAACAGGTTAAAAATGTTTAAACAGATAAAATTATAACATGTTTGTCTCTGCAGCATCTTCATTTCATTTCAGTCAGATATGAGTGTAACTACACTTGATTGATTTGATTAATAAGCATTAATAAGCAGCAGATATCTTATATGCTTTTAGAGACTTTTGGGTCTTCAGACGTTTTATAATCAGGTTTTAACTTTTGATTTTTAAACTTCACTCCCAGAGTGTCAGTGTTTCAGTGAAACACAAAGGATTCGACCTCTGATTAATTTTTTCAATGTTATTCTTTAACCATTCTATTTGATTATTGAGCATCACAAATTTTTTCTGCAAAGTGAAATAAATCAAACTACCGTATTTTTCAGATTATAAGGCGCATTAAGCGAAACAAAACAGTCAGATAAGTCAAACTTTACTCCACTCACTCTTCTTGCTTCCTCCACTTCTGTACCATTGATTCATTAATGTTGAATTCTCTCACAGTTGGTCTATTCCCATGTTGTTGCAGTATATTAATTGTCAAGGAGTGGTGCTGTGTGGCAAGCAGGAGTAGGACCCAAAATGCAGTCGCTCAGACTCAAGGGATTAACTCAAAGTCACAGCTTTATTGGCTGGCAGAGAAAAAGCATACAAACGCAAACTAAACTAAACTGGGAAATAACAAACTAAAACTCACAGGGAGATCCACACA